TCTCTTGGCAAAAGAAAGATGAAAAGAAAAGCTACAAAAATCACCTATGGTTGGGCCCTATCGTGGCCGCAAAGTTCAGATAGGAGTTCAATGAGAACCAGATCAGAGGCTCTGTTCTGGCGGCTGGAACTTGGCCCATATGTCTGGTTGGCCTGTAAGTGCTGGCTGTGAACTTGAATTAGGCTGGCGTGAAGGGGAAAAAATTGAGATGTTTAACACAAAAAGATCCAGATTCCTGGATTTCTTGAAAAACTTTGAAGGTCCGGCATGGCCACATGCGCCCCCCACTCCTATCAATCTGCTGTGGCTGAGCCAGGGCTGCCCTCTTCGGAGGTGGTACCTGATCTCTACCCATGGTCTCCATTGCCCTGAGGCCCTTTGTCAGATGCCCCCCCCCCCACCTTGGTACTAGCCCCTGCTGGTATTTTTATAGTTGGTCTCACTGGACTAGAGGAAGCCAGCCAGAGGGTTTTTTAAACTCTTCACTGTGCTGTCTGACCTGACTTGGTTTTTGGGAGGAAAAACAAAGCAACATGATCACAGTCTAATCACAGGGAAGATTTGGCTGGCTAAGGCTTTCCAATGCAATGATTATTTGGAGATATTCTAGATGTACTAGAAACTTTCAGAGAAGACAAAGAAAGTAGAAAGAAAATTGTATCAGAGTAGATAGGCTAGAGTGGTTTAGCACTTCCCACAGATGTGGAGAGAAACAGTTGGCTAGCATCAGAATATTCTGTTGAGTGGTAAAATATACTGTACTGAAATATGTGTCAACCTTCACTTTCCCCTACGCCTACACTCCACCAAGGTGGGAGGGGGGAGCCCGAGACAGAGGTACAGGATGTCAAAAAGTTCCCAGGTGTGAGATAAGTCATAGGATAGACTAAAACTACCCCAGGTGGAAGACAGCCATGCTTCTTACAAAAGGAGACCTGAGCTTATAATACACAGGTACCCTGTGTCAAAGGTGCTGGCAGCACTCTGGCCTTCAATAGTGGCCCTATACCTGTGTAAGGTGGCTATTGGCAAAACATCCACTGTTGGACAGGTCGGCTGAAGCATGACCAGTTCAGACTGGGATGAAACTATTAGGTCTGTGACCGCTCCACCACCACCTGCCTATTCCACATGCCCTACAAAATTCTTGTCAGTGAATTTCATAGTTAACATATAGGCTGTCCTATTGGGATGGTTCCACCAGAGGCCCATCTGGTGAACTCACCCAGGCAGATGGTTTTATTACTGGTGTCAGTCTTGAGTTATGACGTGGGGCCTTTTTGTATAAACTCAGATTCAAAATTCGCTATGTTGGGGCCGGCGCCGTGGCTTACTTGACTAATCCTCCGCCTGTGGTGCTGGTACTCTGGGTTCTAGTCCCAGTTGGGGTGCTGGGTACTAGTCCCGGTTGCTCCTCTTCCAGTCCAGCTCTCTGCTGTGGCCCAGGAGGGCAGTGGAGGATGGCCCAAGTGCTTGGGTCCTGCACCCACATGGGAGACTGAGAGGAAGCACCCGGCTCCTGGCTTCGGATTGGCGCAGTGCTGGCCGTAGCGGCCATTAGGGGAGTGAACCAACGGAAGGAAGACCTTTCTCTCTGTCTCTCTCTCACTGTCTATAACTCTACCTGTCAAATAAAAAAAATTCGCTATGTCATAAGGAATAATACAAAGGATGTCCAGGTCCGGGATGCAGGTTCACAGACTGGCCTGCTTCCTAGTTGTGTGGCTAGACAAGTCAACTGACACTGAACCATTCTACAGGTGTGGTTCTGTTTAGTGACAAAAGCGCAAACTAATAAAACCTGGTCGGCATAAAGTAGTTAGCGACGGCGGCACCCAGTAATGTCCCACAACACCACTTTTTTTTGCATGGGACACTGGACACGACAGGTCCTTCGAAGTCCAGAAGTTTGACCCTTCTTTTACAGATGATGAAATCACGATGCCCACAGGGCTCTCAGGCAAGCAGGAGCAGTGCCCAGCAGCTCTGGAGACCTGGGCCCTGGAACTTTACCCAACATTGGCTTGCTGGCGTGAGCCAGCTCAAGAGAGAGATTCTGAGAACTGGTAGGGACAGTGACATGGCAGTTCCTATAATTTCCAGGAACCTCAAACTGCGAGCCAACGGGCTAGCTAGCTACACAGATTTCCCTGGTTTTAAGTTTGACACAGTGGGTCAGGTGTTTGGTGCTATGGTTAACACACTGCTTGGGATGCCCTTGTCCCATATCTGAGTGCCTGGGTTCAAGTTCTGACTCTGTTTCCAATTTAGCTTCCTGCCCTATTAGGCAGCAGTAATGGCTTAGGGACTTGGGTCCCTGCCACTCATGTGAAAAATCCATATCGGGTTCCTGACTCTTGGCTTCAGCCTGATCCAGCCCCAACTGTTGTGGGTATTTGGGGAGTGAACAAACAGATGGAAGACCTCTCTGTCTCCATCTCTCTCTGCCTTTCAAATAAATAGTAACTAAATAAAATTACAAGACATAAGCGTAACATAGGCCTTACTGTTCCCCATCACGTCTCATTCTCTCACATCTGATTCTCTTACACAAATATATCTTGATTGCCTGCTGGGCCTCTGTATATATCCAAGTTTAGTTTATCTATACTGCCAGGCCGAGTTGCCCTACCAATAGCTTGGATTACTGGTCAACCAAAGATGAAGCATGCACACTTCAACTTTATAAATCTCTCTCTCTCTCACACACACACACACACACACACAGTGACCCCACGATAATGTTTGAAGCCTGGTTTCTGGTCTGTAGGAGAATGGCTGACCCTTTTTAATTTCAGCTTGCCAAGTGATGGCTTTGCCAAACTGCATTCTTATAGAGACTTGGAAAATCAATGATTTATAAAAAAAGGCTTACTATTCCTGATTCCCAAGAGAACCACTCTTGAAGAACGACTTCACTCGCCTGCTACACATTAGGAAAGAGCATATGCTTCAACAGGAACCACAGTTCTAGATCCAGAAACTGCACCTCCACGCTCCATGCATCATGTTACCACGGTTTTCTTCTTTTTCTCTTGGGACCAACATAATTCTCCCATGGTTGTGTTTTAAAATTAAATTTTGAACACTGACATATCAAATGTTCACGTGTGAAATAAAAATCTGTCAAAGCCAATTCTGTTAGCCGCTGAAGGTTTAGACCAGGGATGGGGAATGGCCTGCCCATGGGCCCTATAAGGCCCTTGAAATCACTCAGTCTGGCCCCACCAAGGCAAAACCAGGTGGGACTCAAAAATTCAATAAAACTATAATAGTCTGATTTTTAGGCTGATAATTTTGTGTGGCCCGTGAATGATGTTATAAATATCCAACACTCTTGGCAGAGAAAAGATACCTCACCCCTGCAGAAAAGTGAAAGTATGAGACAGTGGCTCCCCAGAAATCCCATGGGGCATACTCCTACCCCCATAACACAGACACACACACACCTCAAACATAAGATACCCACTCTATGTCAACTATCACCCAATCTTCTTTAATCACTAGGCTGCCACACTCTTCACTCCCCTAAGAAAGCTATGAAAGTATTTTATTTAAATTTTATGAGAAATGAAGGGCTGAGGGAGGTAGTGTGCATTATATGAAGGACTGAAAGCAAAGTAACTTATTAAGCTTGCAAGAAACCCATCGTCCAAACCCTGATTCAAACCCTTATTTGAATATGCTATTTTAATCCTGATTTGTTGCAGGACAGGAGACCAAATTAGATCACTCATTTTACTGATGTGAGTTCCAAGTCTGAATTCTCGGGTGGATTATTTTTAATTTAAAAGTGAGTTCTTGCCCTATAAAAAAAATAGCACCAAAGAGATATGCAAGGCAGCCTAAATGGCCAAAGAGGCAGAACAGTTAACTTTTAACAGCATTATTTCCACTTCTCAGTTTAGAAGACTAACTTTATGGTCTAGCTCTAGGTTCAATGATTATAGACAGGTAAGTGTGTGAAACTGCTCCTGGGGATTCTAAAGTAATGGCCGTAGACAAACAGATGTTATAATATGACCACACAATGCACTACTATGCAGCCATTTCAAGTGCATTAAGGTTGGGCTAGGCTCAGGCATTAAACAGCATGTGATAGCATCAATTAAGAACACCAGGTTGCAGAAGTCATTTTTGGAGCAAAATTTATGTGTGGGTATTAAAAACTCCTCGGCCACACACACAAGGAGGGCTCTATATTTAGCTGTGAGGATGCATAGAAGCATGGTTTAAAAAGTCTTCCCTCACCAAACCCAACGCTGATGGGAAAGGAAGGGAGGGGTCTTGGTCTTTCTGGACTTAACTTTTCTGGTCTGTGGTTTGGTAACTTAAAAAAAACTAATAATAACATGCTGGGCTTCAAAGACTGTAACACAGCTCCTAGGAGCCCTTGTCAAGTTCCCAGTCGGCCTCGTTTTCACCCTGTTCAGTACAAAAACGCAGCCACAACTCCTCAGTCCCGGGGAAGGCCAGCAGAGGGGAAGGCGTGGCTTGCAGGGCTTTCTGGTTGCAGGAGGAAAACAGGCTCGGGCGCCCTTTTTTTAGCTACACTCCCGGGAGCTCCCACGTGTCAGGGGTGTGCAGACCGGGGGCGCGGGGCGCATGAGGAATCCTGTACGAGCGCTGCCAAGCAGAGTGCTGGTAAATGCTGCCTTCAGCTCGCCCATTTCCTCCCTCCCCGGTCCCCACGGTGAGCCACCCAGTTCAAGTTTTACTTGGGCGGCCCAGCCGTACCGAGCACACCCGAGCACATGTCGGCTGAGGACGCAGGCACAGGGCACGGAAGGCTAGGATGTGTTCCCACCAGCAGCGAGAGGGCCAATCCTTCTGGGTTCAGTGTCCGGGCAAATGTCAATCAACCCAGAGTGACTCCCGAAGTGGACAGGCCGGCTCGGGGGAAGAGTGGACGTAGGGTAGACACTGCCCCCCCCCAACCCCTTCAAACAAGAAAGATGCCCCCCACCTCTCAGGGCCTGCCGACAGGTCCCCGGGCTTACCTTGCAGGGAAACAGGACCGCCGAGGCCACCTTCTCCATAGCCAGGTTCCTGATGCTGGGCGTTAGGGCACCCCTGCACGTCGGGCAGCAGCTCAACTTCTGGCGGCATTGGTTACACACCAGGTGCCCGGCCTGGCACTGCAGGATGGGGGGCAGGACATAATCAAAGCAGACCGGGCACTCGAAGAGCGAGGTCAGCTCGTGGTGCTGCGGGGACACCGGGCCGGCCCCGCCGCCACCGCCGCCGCCGCCGCCGCCGCCGCCGGGGCCCGAGATCACCGCCGCCGCGGCAGGCACCGCGGACGAGCCGGGGCCCGCAGCCGAGATGGTGGCGGCGGCCGGGGGCGCAGCCGGGGACGGAGCGTGCTGGGGCTGCGGCGGCGGCTGCTTGCTGCAGGGTTTGTTAGCGCTGGGGCCGGTGGAGGACGGGCGGCTCATCGCGTTCGGAGCCCACCATGGAACTGCGGGCGCCTGCCTGCCGCGGGGCCGCCCGGGTCAAGGCGGTGCGCGCCCCGCGGGCGGCAGGCTCCGGGGCAACGCCACGGCGCCCAGCCCCCGGACCGGGCAACGGCGACGGTCGGCTCTCGGCAGGCGGGCGGTGGGCGGGTGGGAGATGGGCTGGGCCGCGCCGACGCCCTCCGCGGCCCCGGCCGATCCGCACAGCCCTGTGCGTCCCACCCGGCGCGGTGCCTTCCTCCCTCCCGGCGGCTTTCGGGCCCCGACCCCGAGCGGCGCGCAGAACCCAGCCCAGCAGCTTCTGGAGCGGCCGCTGACGCAAGCCCCGGGGGCGCGCGCGGACGTGACGCCTGGACACGTGTGCGGCCGCCCAGGCGCGCGGGGACTGGCAGAGCCACCCTGCGCCCCGGCGCGGGCTCCGCCCGGTTCCAGCTGGCGGCGCAGGGGGCCGCCCAGTGCGGGCGCTTCCTGCTTGGGGCTGCAGGGAGCACGCCCCGCTCGCCCCGGCCGCCGCCGCCGCCGCGCGGGGTCGCGGTTCCCGGTCCGGGAAGGAGGGCCGACCTCCGGCGTCCCGTGGCCACACCCCGGGTAGCCCTGCCGTCCCGTTCCCCACCCTCAAACCACAGGGGCAACTTCGGGCGCGCGGGGGCGTGGCCGGTGGGCGGGCCGGCACGCGAGCTGGCGGGGCGGGGCGCGGGCGCCGGGGACAGGTCGGAAAAACCCAGAACCCAGAGGTCCTCTTCCCTCGGTTGAGTCACCAGCGCGTGGGGGAGGCGTGCGACGCAGCCCGCCGGGCTGTCGCGCTTGGAACGCGGGGTCGGGACCAGGGGCTCGGAGGGGGTCTGCAGCCGGCACCGGACCTAGTGCTGGACTGTTAAGGACGGGGTGGGCTACTCGGTGGTCCTGTCTCGAGGGGTGGACAGGAAACCCCCCCCCCCCTTATTCAGTGACCAGCTGACGGGGAGGATGCCTTGGTGACCCGAGCATCTTTAATTTGCATAGCAGTTCGGGGGTGGGGTAGCGTTGGCTAAAGCAGAGTTGGAGATCATCTGGGGTGCGTCGTGAGGCTCAGGAAGACTGTGGGCGCTGCGTGAGGACCGGCCTCGCCGCGGAAGCGATTCTGGAGGCGTGGCAGCCCGGCGTGAACCCCGTGTTCGTTGAATGGTTAAGATGTGCTTCGGGTTAAATTACTTTTGTGCACACTTGCTTGAGTCAAGGGAACGCGCTGCTTAGTTGGGAATTGGGTAGTCTTTGTGGGACAGAGGTTAGAACAACAGGTTGTCAACTGGGTGAAAAATGGTGCCTGTGTCCTTGATGTCTGTGGCTTTGGGCAAGTTCTTTTTTTGTTTGTTTCTTTTTTTCTTTTATTTATTTGAAAGAGAGTTACAGAGAGGACTTCCATCCGCTGGTTCACTCCCCAAATGGCCGCAACGGCTGGAGTTGCGCTGATCTGAAGCCAGGAGCCAGGAGCTTCCTTCTGGGTCTCCCACGCTGGTGCAGGGGCCCAAGGATTTGGGCCATCTTCTGCTTTCCCAGGCCATAGCAGAGAGCTGGATCGGAAGTGGAGCAGCTGGGACTCAAACCGGCGTCCATATGGGTTGCTGGTGCTTCAGGCCAGGGCTTTAACCCATTGCACCACAGCGCCAGCCGCAAGGGCAAGTTCTTTAAAAAACTTATCTGGGCCTCAATTTCCTCATCTGTAGAAATGGAATAAAGGCAATACTCATCTTATAGGTGGGTATTAAGGGTTAAGTGAGTATGCTATGTGTCAAATATGTCATATATGAGATATATCATAAGGTTCATTTAAATATTAGCTGTTTTAGAACACTTTAGTGAATGTTTAAACTTTTTTGAGTTATTTTTGAAAAGATTTATTTATTTGAAAGGCAGAGTTACAGAGGGAGGGAGAGAGACACTCGCCAAATTGCCACAATGGCCAGTCTGGGCCAGGCGAAAGCCAGGAGTCAGGAGCCAGGGTCTTCTTCTGGATCTCCCATGTGGGTGGCAGGGGCCCAAGGACTTGGTCCATCTTCCTTTGCTTTCCCAGGCACATTGGCAGGGAGCTGGATTGGAAAATGGAGCAGCTGGGACTTGAACTGGTGCCCATATGGGTAATGCAATGCCAGCCGCATATACTTAAAATTAATACTAGTGAATACCCATGGATAAAATAGGTCCAAGAAATATGCTATTAGAGCCTACAGGAAATAAATAAATCCCATTTTATTTATTTGAGAGGCAAAGAGACAGAGCTCCATCCATTAAGTCCCTCCCCAAATGTTCTCAACAACCTGGACTGGGCCCAACAGAAAGCAGGAACTGAGAACTCTATCCAGGTCTCCCAAGTGGGTGGTAGGGACTCAACCACTTGCGCCATCATTGGTTGCCTCCTGGGGTCTACACTACCAGGAGACTGGAACCGGAAGCAGAGTGGAGACTCCAACCTAGCACTCCAGTGCGGGAAGCAGGTGTTCCAAGCAGAGTAGTAACAGTCGTGCGTCCTGCTAGGCCTGAAGTGTAATCTCAGAAGGGGCATCTAGAAAGACTCCATGCATGGAACTGGTAGGAGTTATCTCAATTTTGGAAAAGGTAGCAGGCATAGGTGTCATTCCCCTGTGGTACGGGTCTCCTGCACTGTGTGGCGGTGGCTACTGTTAGGGCTCTGAGAGTGCCTTTATCCTGAATGTAAGGAGGCAGCTCCAGACCAAACCCTCCCTGGGGCAGGATTTCAGCTTTGTTGGAGCGGTGCGGATGGGAAGACTCAGAAGGAGCTAAAGCTCAGAGTGAGAGAATGCATTCCCAGAGTGCAGTAGGACTTGCTGCTGGGGGGGGTGTTATGGGTGAGCAGGGAGGTGGGACCTTCAGCTGGTGTAGTAAGACCTTTACCTCACTGTCAAAGTCTTGTAAAGAACCGTCTCATGGTTGAACCTGCGATTCTGGATAGATGCTGTGGGAAATGTAAAAAATACAAGTAACTAATAATTATTGAGTGCTCAGTGTTTGTCAGAGTGGATGCTTTTAAGTATTTTGCGGAAGTCTTACATGGCAGATACTACTGCTAACTGCTTCTCTTTAACAGCTGAGGGAGCAGCTGATGCTAATTTGCTCAAGGCCACACATCTGAGAACGTCAGCACACACTCTGGATCTCCCCCTCCCCCCACCGCTTTTGTTCTGCTAGAGAGAGAGAGAGAGACTCCACCTGCTGGTTGCCTCTCCTACTGCCCACAATGGCAGAGGGGCCAACCTAGGAACTGGAGACCAGATCTCAATCCAGATCTCCCACATGGGTAGCAGGGACCTAAGTATTTGAACCATCACCACTGCCTCCCAGGCTCTGCATTAGCAAAAGCTGGCGTCAGGAGCCAGAGTCGGGAATGGAACCCAGGCACTCCTCGGTCTTCATCACTGGGCCGAAAGCCTACTGTCGGAACCCTTGTTAACTCCAGGTCTGATTCCTCCCAGTGATGCCCGACTCCTGCTTGCACTCTTGAAGGAGCTTAGATGAGCATCCTGGCAGAGACTTGTGTGGCCTGTGACAAAGTCCTGAATCCTATGGGCGAACTTTGCAGAACGTCTTCCCTTAGCAGCTCGTGGGAAACAGATTAAATCATTCTATTTATTCCACTTCCACCTTTTTGTCGCATAAAGGGGACAGAATAGGGATAAGAGAAAGAAAAAGAAATCATTCACAGTTTCATTGTTATTGGAGAAAATGGAATGTTTTCCACTTGTTTTTATTTTAAAGGTTTATTTATTTATTTTGAAAGAGAGAGACTTGGGCCACTTTTCCACTGCTTTTCCAAGGCCATTAGCAGAGATCTGGATCAGAACTGGAGCAGCCGGGCCTCGAACCGGCACCCGTATGGGATGCTGCTACCCATGTGGGAGCATCCAAACACACACACTCTCTCTCTTTCCCCTTTCCTTTCCTTTCCTTTCCTTTCCTTTCCTTTCCTTTCCTTTCCTTTCCTTTCCTTTCCTTTCCTTTCCTTTCCTTTCCTTTCCTTCTCTTTCTTTCTCTCTTGATTTATTTATTTATTTATTGAAAGGCAGAATGACACAGACAGGGAAGGAGAGAACCTTTTTTCTGCCAAGGGCCATCTGGATTTTTATAACATCACTTGCTGGCCATAAATTATCAACTGAAAAATTAGCCTGCTGTACATTTATTGAATTCGAGTCCCACCTGTGGTTGCCTTGGCAGGGCCAGAACAAATGATGTCCCGGGTGTTTCCCACTCATGTCCCAAATGACCACAACAGCTAGGGGTGGGCCAGGCGGAAGCCAGGAGACAGGAGCTACATCCTGGTTTCCCATGTGGGCAACCACTCCCTTCCGAGGCACCGTTAGCAGGAATCTGGGTCAGAAGCAGAGTAAGCAGGAAAGGAAATGGCACTCCAATAGAGGATGCTGGCGCCCCAAGTGGTGGCTTAACCCACTATACCTTAATACCAGCCCCATGTTTTCCACTTTTAATTTAAAACTCGAGTTGTTCAAATGTAATGATTGGAATATATTTTTCTTCCTTCCATCTCCAGCCCCGCAGTGCAGTTACCACCCACCAATCCCCAACCTGGGGCTTGCGGGCTGGCATTGGAAGGGTCAGATCCTCACCCTTGCCCTTCGACATGTTCTAGCCAGTTAGGTGCAGGTTATTTAAAGTTATTTAGTTATTTAGTTAGGGAGGTGTTGAAACAAAGAGGGAAAGCTACTCTCTGCAGAGACATCTCGGGATAATTTTCCTAATAATACTGCCCCATCCGCTCTTACTTTGGTATATAGAGAAATTTCTTTTTGCTTCCTCTGTTACATCCTCGCACTCCTGATGGAGTTGGCCTGTGTTAATTAAAAACAACAGGAGCAAAGCCACAGACTCGGGCAGCCTGACAGCAGGCAGGAAGGCAGTGGGCAGGCCTGAAGGTGGAACCACCTCAGTGACCTTTCCAGGCTGCCTGGCTGGTTTTTCCAGTCCTCCTT